CAGCGGGAGCTGTTGCTTCAAAAAATGTGTAGAGAGACAGGTCTTATTCTGCACAACTGTGCTCAACCAAGCATTAAAGGGGCACAAATACATAGTTGGCAGCATCTTTTAAAAATTGCTTTTTCTGTATGTTGAGAAACCCTAAAGATTCCACCAAGAAACTACTAGGACTGGTACATAAGTTTTGTAAAGTAACAGGATACAAAGTAAATATCCTGAAATTTGTTGCATTTTTATACACCAATAATGAACTATCAGAAAGGGAAACTAAGAAAACAATTCCATTGCCCGGCTGGTGTGGCTCAGTGGTTGAGCGTCATCCCATGGACTTGAGAGGTCCCGGTTCAGTTCCCGGTCAGGGCACATGACCAGGTTGTGGAACAAATCCCCAGAGAGGGCATGTAGGAGGCAGCCAGTTTCTCTCATCGATGTTTCTATCTCTCTCTCCCTTTCCCTTCTTCTCTCTCTAAAACCAATAAAGAGCCCTGGCCCTGGCCGGTTTGGCTCAGCGGTTAGAGCACTGGCCTGCAGTCCAGAGAGGCCCGGGTTCAGTTCCTGCCAAGGGCACGTACCTCAGTTGCAGTTTGTCCCCGGCCCTGGTGGAGTCGTGCAGGAGGCAGCCACTCGATGTGTCCCTTTCACATCGATGTTTCTCTCTCTCTCTCTCTCTCTCTCTCCCTCCCTCCCTCCCTCCCTCCCTCCCTCCCACTCTGTCTGAACAAAAAATGGAAAAATGTCCTCGGGTAAAGATAAATAAAATAAAACCAATAAAGAAAAAATAATAATAAAACAATCCCATTTACAATGGCATAAAAAATACCTAGGAATAAATTTAACCAAAAAGGTAAAAGACCTGTTTTCAGAAAATTATGAGACAGTGAATAAAGAAATTAAAGGAGATATAAAAAAATGGAGTCATATAACATGTTCATTGATAGGAAGAATTAACATTGTTAAAATGTCCATACTACACAAAGCAATCTATAGATTCAACTCAAATCCTATCAAAATATCAATAACATATTTCACAGAACTAGAACAAATAATCTAGATATGTATAGGGAACCACAAAAGACCCCAAATAGCCACAGCAATCTTGGGACGAAAAAAAAAAAAAAAAAACACAACATTTGTGGAATCACAATATGATATCAAACTATACTACAAGGCCATAGTAATCAAAACAGCATGGTGCTAGCATGAAAACAGACATATAGGAACATAAATAGAGAGCCCAGAAGTAAATCCATACTTATATGCTCAATTAGTATTTGACAAAGGAGGCAAAAACACACAATGAGGTAAAGACAATCTATTCAATAAGTGATGCTGAGAAAACTGGACATATTCATGCAAAGAAATGAAACTAGACCACCTTACACTGCACACAAGAATAAACTTAACATGGATAAAAGATTTACATGTAAGACTCAAACCCATAAAAATCCTAGAAGTAAACAGTAAAATCTCAGACATTTCTCTCTTTAAAAAATTTTTTTTTCTTTTCAGACATTTTGCTTAGTAATATTTTTTCTGCTATATCTCCTCAAGCAAGGGAAACAAAAGAAAAAATAAACAAATTGGACTACTTTAAACTAAAAAGTTTTTTGTGTGTTTTTGGGGTTTTTTTTTTTTTTTGCATTTATCTTCAGATAGAGTGGGAGGGAGAGAGGGAGGAAGAGAGAGAGAGAAACATCGATGTGAGAGAGACACATCGACTGGTTGCTACCCGCACAACACCAACTGGGGCCAGGGACAAACTGCAACCAAGGTATGCGCCCTTAGTGGGAACCGAACCTGGGACTCTGATTCGCGGGCTGATGCTCTAACCACTGAGCAAAACTGGCCAGGGATAAACTATAAAGTTTTTACACAGCAAAAGAAACCATTAACGAAACGAAAAGACAGTCCACCGAATAGGAAAACATATTCACCAATGATACATCTGATAAGAAGTTAATATCCAAATTTTATTTAAAAACTCATACAAATGGGGGGGAATGAGTAACATCTGTAACAAAAACAAATTAATAAATAATTTTTAAAAAAATACTCATACAACATCAAAAGCCCCCAAACAATTTAATTAAAAACGGGCACTGGCTGGTTTGGCTCAGCGGTTAGAGCGTCGGCCTGCGGTCCAGAGAGACCTGGGTTCGGTTCCCGCTAGGGGCGCGTGCCTCGGTTGTAGTTTGTCCCTGGCCCTGGTTGGTCGTGCGGGTGGCAGCCACTCGATGTGTCCCTTTCACATCCATGTTTCTCTCTCTCTCTAGAGACTCTCTCCCTCCCACTCTATCTGAACAAAGTATTGAAAAATGTCCTCGGTGAGGATTAAAAAAAAATGGGCAAAGGACCTGAATCGACACTTCTCCAAAATAGACATACAGATGGCCACTAAACATGTGAAAAGATGCTCAATGTCACTAATCATCAGAGAAATGAAAATTAAAACCACAGTGAACTATCATCTCACACCTATCAGAATGGCTATCATCAATAAATCAATGAAGAACAAGTATTGGCAAGGACATAGAGAAAAGGGAACCCTCACTGTTGGTGGGAATACAGATTGGTGCAGCCACTATGGAAATGTGTATGGAGGTTCCTCAAAAAATTTAAAATGGGCCCTGGCGGGTTTCGCTCAGTGGTTAGAGCGTCAGCCTGCAAACCAGAGAGTCCCGGGTTTGGTTCCCGCTAAGGGCACATACCTCGGTTGCAGTTTGTCCCTGGTCCCAGTAGGGGTTGTGCGGGTGGCAACCAGTCGATGTGTCTCTCTTGTATCAATGTTTCTCTCTCTTCCTCCTTCTCTCCCTCCCACTCTATCTGAAGATAAATGCAAAAAAATGTCCTCGGGTGAGGATAATAAAACAAAACACCAACAGAAAAATAGAAAATAAAATAAATAAAAATAAAAATGGGACTGCCTTTTGACCCAGCAATTCCACTTCTGAGTATATATCCAAAGGAACCCAAAACACTAATTCGAAAGAATATATGCACCCCCTATGTTCATTGCAGCATTATTATTCACAATAGCCAAGTTATGGAAGCAATCCAAGTGTCCATCAATAGATGAGTGGATAAAAAAGTAGTGGTACATATATACAATGGAATATTACTTGGCCATAAAAAATAGTGAAATCTTACCATTTGCGACAGCATGGATGGACCTAGAGGGTATTATGCTAAGTGAAATAAGTCAGTCAGAGAAAGACAAATACTATATGATTTCACTTATATGTGGAATATAAAGAGCAATATAAATGAACAAGCAAAACAGAAACAGACTCATAGAAAACAAACTGATGGTTGCCAGAGGGGAAAGGGGTTGGAGGACAGAGTGGAAAAGGTGAAGGGTTTGAGAAATACAGATTGGTAATTACAAAATAGTCATGAGGATGTAAAGTAGAGCATAAGGAATATAGTCAATAATATTGCAATAACTATATATGGTGCCAGGTGGGTACTGGAAATATCAAGGGAAACATTTTGTAAAGTATATGATTGTCTAACCACAATGCTGTACATCTAAAAGAATACAAAATAATATTGAATGTAAATTATACTTGCAAAATAAACCAATACTTTTTAGGAGTTTTATATTTACAGAAAAGTTGCACAAATAGTACAGAAAGTTTCCCTATACCCCCCACACAGTTTCTCCTATAATTAACATTTTAAATTAGGCTGGTACTTTTGTTACAATTCATGGACAAATATTGATACATTATTCATGACTTAAGTCCACAGTTTATTCAGATTTCTATTTTAAAAATATGTTTTATTGATTTTTTTTGAGAGAGAGGGAGAGAGAGAGAAACATCGATGTGAGAGAGAAACATCGATGGGCTGCCTCCTGCACGCCCCCTACTGGGGATTGAGCCGGAAACCTGGGCATGTGCCCTGACCAGGAATCAAACCAGGACCTCTCAGTCTATGGGATGATGCTCAATCCTCTGAGCCTCAATGGCTGGGCCATTCAGATTTCCAAAATCCTTTTCTCCTGGCCCATCCAGTATCTCCATCAGGATCCCATGTAACATTTAGCCCTCCCGTCTCCATGGGCTCATCTGGGCTATGACCGTTTTTCAGACTTTCCTTGTTTTTGGTGACTTTGGCAGCTCTGAGGAGGACTGGTAAAGGATTGTGTAGAATATCTCTTAATTGCGGGTTGTCTGGTGTTCTTCTGATGGTTAGGCCAGGGTGATGAGGAAAAAACCCATAGTGAGGGGTCCTTCTCATCCCATCATAACCCAGGTCGTGTGTCACCACAACTTACCACAGTTGACAGTGACCTTTACCCCCTGGCTGAGTGTTGGTCAGTTTCCCCTCTGTAAAGTCACTCTCTCCCCTATCTTTGCTGTTCTCTTTGGAAGGAAGTCTCTGTCCAGAGTAGGGGTTATTCATTTCCTGGCGGCAGAGTGTCTACATACATTATTTGGAGTTCTTCTGTGCAGAAAAGTTGTCTCTCCTTCCCCATATTTATTCAATCATTTATTTATACCCATATGGTCTAATGGACATTTTCTTTTACGCTGGGGCTTACAATCCAATACTCCATAATTTTGTTGTTGCTCAGACCATCCCAGCGTTGGCTGTGGAGAGCTCTTTTGGTTGACTGCTATGACTGTTAGATAACTTCTTGCCTCATTTAAACCCTGCAGCCACCCCATGAAGATTGCTGCTTATATCCCAGAGCATGTAAAACTGTGTGACACTGGCCAAGCCCCTCCCTCCCTCTCAGCTTTGCTTTCCCAGTCAAAACAAAAAAAAGATAATATACATTAGGTTCTCTGCAGGGAGCCCTTCGGCATTGGGGCTCTATGATTTTTTGTGCTAATGAACAGATATATTTTGTCCCAGTAATTCCCAGAACTAAACAGGTGTTGTTGTTGTTGTTGTTGTTGTTGTTGTTGTTGTTGTCGTCATCTGAACTCCGTGCTCTGATGGCTGGATTTTCGGTGCCTGGTGATTGATGCCCCTCCTGGCTGGATGTGCAGGCCACTCCGGGAAGAGACAGGAATGGACGCACTTGTCAGTCCAGCGGAAGACACGTCCTGTGAGTTTCCACGCGTGCAGAAACGGGTGCGCTGTTTCCAGGTCTCAATTCTGCCCAGGACTGTAGAAATGTCAGAAGGAATGTCAGGGAAGGGGTTGCTCTGCTCTGAGGCCTGCAAGGAAAGCAGCTGTGGTGGGCGAGAGACATGTAGGCACCGTCATGAAGTTGGCACAGCGGTGTTGCTGTGTCCTTGAGCTGGTTACTCAGCCTCTCTGAGTCTCCAATTTCTCATCTACTAAATATAGGTAGTGAGCCTGTCACACAGTGAGGTGCAGCTCCCACCAGGTCAGGAAGTGGAGAGGAGGACAAAGTGAAAAAAGCACCTGTTTTGTTTTGTTTCTGTTTTCCTGTTTCCCCGCAGCCCCTCCCAACACATTGAACTTCAATGGAGCCCATCGTAAGCGAAAGACACTGGTCGCCCCAGAGATCAACATTTCCCTGGATCAGAGTGAGGGCTCCCTGCTGTCAGACGACTTCTTGGACACCCCTGATGACCTGGACATCAATGTGGATGACATCGAGACCCCCGATGAGACTGACTCACTGGAGTTCCTGGGGAATGGCAATGAGCTGGAGTGGGAAGGTGAGCTCAGGGTTTGCTCAGGGCACCTGCCTGGCCCCAGACCGCACTCAGCCCCTACTGGGTTCCGGGCCAGCTTACTAGAGCAATCCCTCCACCCCACAGGCTCAGGTAGGGCAGGTGTCCTAACTCAGGGCTCATGAAACACCCCCAGGAGGGTCCATTTGCCCCTGCAACTCCACGCATATTTTTCTTGTGAACTTGTGGATTTCTCAGGGGGAACACGGCTTTCATCAGGTTCTTGAAGGTGACTGAGACCAGTGGGAAGTGCCTCCAGCTGACTCCACAAGTGTTTGTGGAGCATTTACTTGGGAGAAGGTCTCAGCTGAGATGTGGGGATACGGAGGGAGTATGGCAGGAATAGATGGTGCCCACCTGCACGCATGATGGTCAGAGGCAGACACTAGATAATGAAATAAATGTGCAAGAGGTCATTGCAGCTGGTCATCAGTGATATGAGAAGCTTAGGTGAGGTGACGACATAGGGCAGGGGGCAGGAGGTGATTCTGTCCCCCAAAGAACAGTTGGTGATATCTGGTGACATCTATGTTTGTCACAACTGGGTGGAGACCAGGGATGCTGCTCAAAACCCCACAGTGCCCAGGACAGCGCCCCACAGAGAATGATTCAGACCTAACTATCATAAATGCTCAGGGTGAGACACCTTGAGCTGGGGTAACTGGGTGTGGGGAACTCCTTTTAAGAGTGGTCAGGACAGGTGTCACTGGGTAGGTGTTAGTTGATCTGATATCTCAAGACTAAAGCACGGGTCAGGTTAGAAAGACTGCGGGTGGTCGTGGCCACGAGGATAGAATCAGAGCCACAGTAGCTGCTGGATGGACGTGGAATATAAGGGGAAGAGGAGTCAATGATGCCTGGGTTTGGGGGCCTGAGCAGCTGGGAATATGGCTGAGCGATTTCCTGAGGCAGGGAGTCTGCAGGATGAAAGGTGGGAAAGAGGTGGATATTATGAGTGGCTGAGAACCCTGAGAAGGAAAGATGCCCAGAGAGGGAAAGAATGTGTGCAAAGTCACACAGCAAGTCATTCACGGAAATTAGCTCTACCCAGATTGACTGCCTGACGTCCACCCTGAGCACTTTTCCTGTGTTCCATGGCTTGAAAAAAGGTTCCTCATTTTCCCCATCAGCCTCGAGCTGACACTGCAAGTGAGTGAAGTATAGGATCAGTGTTTGCCTGTGGGCTGGGAGAGGGGTGTGGGCTCCTCAGCCGTGGGCAGCAAAGGGAGCCAGAGAGGCTAGGGTGGGACATCGGATTCAGGCGTCCCTTCCGCTCAGCCTCCGCCTGCTTCCAGATGACACCCCCGTGGCTGCTGCCAAGAATATGCCCGGGGACAGCGCGGATCTGTTTGGGGATGGCACGGCCGAGGATGGCAGTGCCGCCAATGGGCGCCTGTGGCGGACGGTGATCATCGGTGAACAAGAACATCGAATTGACCTGCACATGATCCGGCCCTACATGAGAGTGGTGACCCACGGAGGTGAGGTCACATCTCTGCGGCCCCCTCCCTGCTCCAGCTGGGAAACTGGAGCTCCAGCTATGGGCCTCTCTGAACCTCGGTCTCTTCATGAGCCAGGTTAAGCTCTTGTCTCTGGGTGGCTGGAGGTGAAACTTGCATGGGGACAAGGCACGGATGCCAGGTGCACACGGAGGGTGCTTACAAGGATGACTGGTATTCCCCACCAAAGGCAGAGACAGGTCAGGAGCATGGGGTGCTCAGAGCTTACAGCTCAGAGAGGGCTCTGCCCATCACTGCCTGGGGCCACTCACTGGCTGCATCTCCCCAGGGTACTACGGCGAAGGTCTCAATGCCATCATCGTCTTTGCTGCCTGCTTTCTCCCGGACAGCAGCTCTCCTGACTACCACTACATCATGGAACACCTCTTCCTGTAAGTGGCCGCCTGATCTGTCCCCGCCACAACATTTCTGAGAGTTCCAGCAGGGGTCTGGACCAGGCTGTAAGAACCACGTTGGGAGGGGGCTCTACCTGGCACCAGGGAGGGGCTGAGCCACCACCAGACCTGGATCTGAGTTCCCTGCTCACCCACTGGGCCTCATTGGTGCAATCACCATTGTCATCATCACTGTCATTTATTGAGTATTTACTATGTGACAGCCATAAGACTAAGTGCTGCTTATGTGATAACGCATTTCACCCTCACCACAACCCTGTGGGACAGGCACCTCCCGTTCAACAGGTGCAGTCTGAGGCACAGATAGTACGTCACTTACCCAAGGACACACAGGTACCGTTGTATTATGACAGAGGCAGATAATACATATAAAGCATTGGGCAGATAACAGTAAGAGCTCATGATTACTCATTGTCACTATTATGAAAATTTCCTTCTTACCCAGCAGGGTTTGGGTGCCGGGTGGACCAGAGGACGAGGAGGAAGGTCAGAATGGGAAGTGGTCTGAGAGACCAGGGAACCCAGTCTCCCCAATTAGAGATGGGAAAATAGAGGCTGAGAGAGAGGAAAGGATTTTTCTGAAATCCCTCAGAGAGAGATGGAGTCAGGAGGGACCCCAGGTCCCTAACATCCAGTGCAGAGGACGATCTACTGTGGGTACCTGTTCCCCAGCTATATTTGGGGCTATTGAGACCCACTCCCAGAATTAGTGGAGATATTAAGTAAAGTCATGCATGTATAAAGTACGGCCCATAGTAACTCTCAATTAAATAGTAACTACTATGATCATTATACCCACTGCCACAAATCTGGGATGACCACGTGTGCTGGGTCAGCCAACAATTCCTGAACAGGTACGGCTGGCACAGCAGGGGCAGGGGTGAGCAAAGAGAGCAGGTGCCACAGGTGTTCATTCCCAAGACCTGAGGGTTGCTAACTCTGGGCTGCTCTCACCGAGTCCCCTGTCCTCGGTGCCCTGTGACCAGGTACGTCATCAGTAGTTTGGAACTCCTGGTGGCGGAGGATTACATGATCGTGTACCTGAATGGTGCCACCCCCCGGCGGAGGATGCCTGGCATCAGCTGGCTGAAGAAGTGTTACCAGATGATCGATAGAAGGTGAGCAGGAGGGGCTGGGAGCCTGCTCAGGGCTTGGGAACCCGAGCACTGAGGTGTCGGCAGGGCTGGTTCCTCTGGGGCCCTGCGGGAGGATCTGCTCCGCACTCTCCCAGCTTCTCGTGGTCACTGGCCATCCTTGGTATCCCTTGGCTTGTAAATGCATCACCCCAATCTCTGCCTTCATCTCCACATAACATGTCCCTGCATGTGTCTGTGTCTTAATTTTCTCTTCTTATAAGGACACCACTTATCATGAATTAGAGACCCACCTCGCTCTGGTAAGACCTCACCTGCAATCATTACATCTGCGATGACCCTGTATTCCCAATAGGGTCTCATTCCGAGGTCCTAGGGGTTATGAATCAGGGGTGACGCAATTCTACATGACTTAAACTAAATTAGCTCAGACTCTGATATGAGAGAGAGCCAGCTCTGCCACCTGCACATGCTGCCAAGGGGTTAGCTTTGCAGGGACTCTGCCTGCTCCTTGTAAAGTCACAGCACCCCTGGGAGCTCCTCCCTCCCCAGGGCTTGCCCCCAGGAGCCCTACTTGCTTCGTCTGCCTTCCCTCGCAGGTTACGGAAAAACCTGAAGTCCTTAATCATCGTCCACCCGTCCTGGTTCATTCGCACCGTGCTGGCCATCTCCCGCCCTTTCATCAGGTGAGACTGTAGCCTGTGTCCAGACACCCACGTGGGTTGCTGTGAGTCTTTTTTTTTTTTTAATCTGCATTTCCCATCTTCTCTATGCTAAATACATATTACTGCTTTAAACCGTTCTCAATCACAGGTATTGTTATTAAGCGACAAACGGGAAAAATAATAATAACCAGCTCTCCCACAGTGAGTGTTGGCCACCTTTTAACATTTACAGCCACAACCCTGAGAGGCTGGTGTAATCATGCACATTTCATGGATGAGGAAACCGAGGCTCAGAAAGGTCAAGGAACTCACCCAGTCACACAGCAGGTCACTAGCCCACCACACTCCCACAGAAGGGAATGCGGCTCCATTCATTCCAGAATTTGTGTGGGGGCCAAGAGGATGCCAAGAGTGTCTGACCTCCTCCTGGCCAGTAATTCAACGAACCAACACATGAACCCACCCTTGGGATCAGTGATTCACCAGAAGGACTCACAGAGCCAGAAAAGCTGTTATACTCATTGTTATGGTTTATTACTGCAAAAGGATGAAAATTAAAATTGGCAAAGGAAAAGGGCGCATGTGGGAGTCTAAGAGAAACCAGAAATGAGCTTCCAGTTGTCCCCTCCCAGTGGAGTTGTGCCATCAAGGACGTGTGACAACCAGGATGCTCACCTTGGTGTCCAGGGTTCTTACTGGAACTCAGCCACACAAGAACAAAGTACCAGGTGGCTGACCTTAGTTACTTGGTCTCCAGCCACACCAGAGGTTAAATTGACATTACATGGCCCAAGGCCACCACCATTGGCATAGACTGTGTGGCAGGGTTCAAGGCTCTAGGTAGCCCAAGACACTCTTACCAGGCAAGACTTACAGGTGAATTTTCATGAGCACCAAGAGTCAGTTCTATCTTTGCCATGTGCAGGGTTTGGGCACTCCAAACCTGCTGGGTTCACCCTTTACTGCACGATATGGAAGCACCTGGAAAAACAGATCAAGGAAAACAAAATTTGGCATGTTAAATGCCCTCATGAATCACATAAAAACTGAATTTACATTTAATTTAATATCATTCCAAACATTGAACTGAATCATGATCCTTCATTTCCACATTCCCAATTAAGAATCTGTGATGAGCCCTGGCCGGTTTGGTTCAGCAGTTAGAGCGTCGGTCCGCAGTCCAGAGAGACCTGGGTTCAGTTCCCACGAAGGGCATGTACTTCAGTTGCAGTTTGTCCCCGGCCCTGGTTGGGGTTGTGCCGGAGGCGGCCACTCAGTGTGTTGCTTTCGCGTTGATGTTTCTCTCCGTCTCTCTTCCTATCTCTCCCTCCCACTCTATCTAAAACAAAAATGGAAAAATGTCCTCGGGTGAGGATAAAAATAAAAATAAAAAAATAAAAAAGAATCTGTGATGAGCCCTGGCCCGTGTGACTCACTGGTTAGAGCATCAGCCCACGGACCATCAAGTTTGATTCCCGGTCAAGGGCATGTACCTGGGTTGCAGGTTCAATCCCCAGCCCTGGTCGGGGCACGTGCAGGAGGCAGTCAATATGTCTCTCTCACATTGATGTTCTCTCTTTCTTCCTTCCTCCCTTCCACTCTTTCTAAAAATCAGTGGAAAAAAATATCCTCAGATGAGGATTAACCCCCCAAAAATAATCTGTGATGAGTTTAAGAGTCAGGGCCACACTTTGTCTTGAAAGACACTCACAGCATGAGTGATTTACGAGGAGGCAACTTCAGGCGCTCTGTGCTCAAGGACTCCTAATGGTGAAAGCACGTAAATAATGCACTAACTATGGATCATCTGTGCTAACGATGAACCAGTGGGCAAAACAGCCTAACAGAACTGCATTCCGTCCTCAGTATCCCATCATTCAAGACAGATCATTCACTCACTCGAGGTTGCTATTCCCATGGCAAATTTTGAGGATCTTATTTTGAGCTTTCAAACCAAAAAAAGGGGAGAGGGGAGAAAAGTGAACTTCTGCTTTTAAAAGCTGAGGAAGGTCGCCCTGGCTGATGTGGCTCCGTTGGTTAGGCGTCATCCCATGCACCGAAAGGTTACTGGTTCAATTCCTGGTCAGGGCACCTGCCCAGGTTGTTTGATCCCTGGTGGGGGCGTGCAGGAGACGGCCAGTTGATACTCTCACATCGATGTTTCTCTCTCCCTCTTCCTTCCTGTCTCTGTAAAAATCAGTTTTTTAAAAGCACTGGCAGGGCCCTGGCTGTTTGCCTCAGCGGTTGGAGTGTTGGCCCACGGACCAAAGAGGCCCGGGTTCGGTTCCCGCTAAGGGCATGTACCTTGGTTGCAGTTCGTCCCCGGCCCCGGTTGGGGTTGTGTGGGTGGCAGCCACTCCATGTGTCTCTCTTGTGTCGATGTTTCTCTCTCTCCCTCCCTCTCTCCCTCCTGCTCTATCTCAAGATAAATACAAAAATGTCCTCAGGTGAGGATAAAATTAAATAAATAAATAAAAATAAAAAATAAAAGCACTGGCAGGTTTGGCTCTTTGGTTAGAGCCTCGGCCAGAGGACCAAAGGGTTGAGGTTCGATTCCCAGTCAAAGGCACATACCTGGGTTGCAGGTTCGATTCCCAGCCCCAGTTGGGGTTGTTCAGGGGGCAAGCAATCAATGTGTCTCTCTCATCGATGTTTCTTTCTGTGTGTCTGTCTCTCCTTCTCTTCCACTCTATCTAAAAATCAATGAGGAAATATCCTCGAGTGAGGAACAACAAAAGAAAAAAATCTAAAAAAAAAAGGCTGAGGAAAGTGGAGACCATTTCTGAACTGCGATCCAGCCCCTGAGGTTCTGGCAAAAACCTCTGTGTTTTCCATGCTGATCAAAGGCTGGGAGTGTTCTTCACACTGAATTGGAATTCTCCTTCTCAAGGGCCTCAACATGAGCCCAACATGAAACAGAAATTCAGCTCACAGGCAGAAAGAGCATGATCGCAGCAGAGATTTGGGTATCTGTTTCCAATGATGGGCGTGGTGGGTGTGGCCACATCATGATGATGTGAACTTTGCCTGTATTTATAGACCAGTGCTCAGAGCAGCAGGTGTTGGCTCTGAGCACCACAAAAAACCTTCCTAACAAATCCGATCGATTCACCCTCAGAGCCTGCTGGACCCAGACATATTCAGGTAGAGTGGACAATCTGATGAGACAGGTGGAGACACAATTCCTGCCTGTCTTTCTGAGATTCACTCCCCGTCTATTCACCCTTTACCCTACTGTCATGCCATCGGGAGGGAGGCCTCGTGCTCTGAGAATAAATTTTTTGTTTTTTTGTTAATCTCCACCGGAGGATATTTTTCCATTGATTTTCATATAGGGTGGAAGAGAGAGATGGAGAGAGAGAGAGAGAGAGAGAGAGAAACATCAACGTGAGAGAGACACATCGATTGGTTGCCTCCTGCATCACCCCAACTGGGACTGGGGATAGAACCTGCAACCCAGATATGTGCCCTTGACCAGGAATGGATCCCTTTTGGTCCTTGGGCCAACACTCTAACCACTGAGCCAAACCGGCCAAAGTAAGAATAAATTTTTTTTTTAATTAATTTGAACTGCGTGAAAGCAGTTGGAGTTGTTCATTCCAGTACGTAAGGCCACTTCGTGACTCCCGTGGGAAAACTTCTCTGTCATTCCCTAATCAGTTACCACTGGCCTCTTATAGACACTTTGAGCTGCATAACTCATCACTGGGTGCTGGAAGCTTGAGCTGAATTTTCATCTACTCTCTAAAAACAGATATAAAACTTCTTGACACACTCTTTTTTTTTAATTAATTAATTTTTGTTACAGATGTTTCTCTCCTCTTTCCCCCCAGACACCCTCCTCCCGATCCTGTCCCCACTTCTTGACACACTCTTGTAGATGTTTCACTCTATCTTACCTTTTTTACTGTTACTTATTTTCTTACTTATTGTACTGTTATATTCTTTTGGCCATACATTTCTTTCTTTCTTTTTTTTTTTTTTAATCCTCACCCGAGGACATTTTTCGATATTTTGTTCAGATAGAGTGGGAGGGAGAGAGAGAGAGTAACATCGACGTGAAAGGGACACATTGAGTGGTCGCCACCGACACGACCCAACCAGGGCCGGGGACAAACTGTAGCCGAGGTACATACCCTTATTGGGAACCAAACCCGGGTCTCTCCAGACCGCAGGCCAACACTCTAACCGCTGAGCCAAACCGGCCAGGGCAGCCATACATTTCTCATTGTTAACATTTTTATTTTCCCTTGAAAAATGTGAATTTTGGCCCTGGCTGGGTCAGCGCGGTGGTTGGAGTGTGGGCCCACGGACCGATGGGTTCGATTCCGGTCAAGGGCACATACCTCGGTTGCCTGGTTGGGTCATGCAGGAAGCACCCAGTTGATGTGTTCCTCTCATGTCAGTGTTTCTCTCTCTCTCTCTTCCCCCTTCCCACTCTATCTGAAGATAAATAGAAAAATATCCTCGGGTGAGGATTTTTTTTAAAGTGTATTTTTTAAAAAGTGTATTTACATATCACCAAAGCTAGATTTAAGTTTTGTTTTTTGTTTTTTTTGTTCAGGTAGAGTGGGAGGGAGAGAGAGGAAGAGAGAGAGAGAGAAACATCGATGTGAAAGGAACATATCGAGTGGCTGCCACCCGCACAACCGACCAGGGCCGGGGACAAACTGCAACCGAGGTACGTGCCCTTAGCGGGAACCGAACCCGGGTCTCTCAGGACCGCAGGCCGACGCTCTAACCGCTGAACCAAACCGGCCAGGGCTAGATTTAAGTTTTAAAAAATGTTTTTAATACCTGTGAGTTCAAAGCAGCGTGCTGCTGACAAAGCACAGCACAGTACCAGACAGCCTGAATCGGGTTTGGACATGAAGAAGCAGTTCATCCCAAGCGAATGGAGAGTGAATCGACCGTCTCACGTGTACCTTTCTGTGCCCAAATGACAACTGGTGTTGTCCCCAGCAGTGATGAGGGTGCCAGGAAAGCATTCTTGGGAAAAGAACTCAGAGGAGCAATGCTTAGGGTGGATGAAGAGAAAGCCTAGAGTCTAGTAGAATCTCTTGCCTCTCTGCTTCCTTTAAACAAGTGCCTCAGCTTAGCAGGAATCGGGGTCAGACCCATGGCCCAGGACTCTTTTCTTCCTGCAAAGGGAGACCCCAGGCTCTGCTCTGTCCACCCCTCTAGGTGCAGGGTTGGAGATTGGCATTGGGTGGAGAGGGAGATTTGAGGGAAGGTGCTCGGGGCATCCTCAAATTGGGTTATGTGTGCCTCCCTGTCTGCTATCGCTCCTTCTGGCTCTGGGCAACCACACCTTCTCCTCCTGGCAGTGTCAAATTCATCAACAAGATCCAGTATGTACACAGCTTGGAAGATCTGGAGCAGCTCATCCCCATGGAACACGTGCAGATCCCAGACTGCGTGCTACAGTAAGTGTCCCCATGCCCTGTGAGTGCCCTCACCCAAATCCTCAACGCCCCCAAGCTCCTCAGGTCCCCACTCAGCTAAACACGGCTACCCAGGAACCAGACATAAGTGAGAGAGCAGCAGAAGAGGGAATAAGTAAAACAAGCACATGTGAAATTAGAGAATACAGTGGGCCTGGGGATCTAGCATAGGGCAGAGCCAGCAAGCCATGGCCCACCACTCGTTTTTATAAATAAAGTTTTATTAGCACACCCATTTATTAACAGATCATCTATGGCTGTTATCAAGCTACAATTGCATTGAGTTGGTGCAACCAAGACTGGCCCGACAAGCTGAAAATATTTACACTCCAGCCTTTTACAGAAATAGTTTGCCCTGCTGGAGGGGTGTGTAGAACAACCCACGTCAATGAGTGTTAATGGCACTGTTCAATGGCTGGATCAGACAGAAAATGTCTGCTGAGTCGCATCTATACCAGATGCTGGAATACACCAACACAACAGATATTCCCTGCCCTGGGGAGCTTGCAAAGTAGCTGCAGGAAACATGAAGAGGCCCGCAGGTTGTCAGCTCTGGCTGTACTTTCTGCTCTAAAGCCTGGTTTATATTCAGGACTCCCTGGGCCGTGTCTGATGCTGCTCCCTCTCTCTTCCAGGTATGAAGAGGAAAGGCTCAAGGCCAGGAGAGAAAGGTCTGTGCAGAGTGGCCCTGCCAGGGCTGGGTGGGGGCTGGTGCTGAGTTGGGCCTGCATGTGGGGGGCGGCCAGTGACTTTGGCTCAGCAGGGACCAGTGTCACACTTGAGGCCCTGCTCTTCTCTTTGAGGACTTGGAGTCAGATCTGAGTTCAAATCCAAGTTTTCCTACTTCGTCACAGAATGACATTAGGCAAATAAAAAGTTCCCAATGACCTTGGGAGTTATTGTGAAAAGTCAGGAACCGTGTAGCCCACTTGCAAAAGTGGTGGGCTCATGGTAATCATGATGGGAACACAAGCTTCACCCCCACCCCCCACAGACTCAGACACACCCCTTTAATACCTTATTGGCTCATTTTTCATTAGTGTCACAGACACTTTCAGGACTGTTCTGGTCCCAACCAATTATGGAGCCCTTCCCAATCGCCTGGATACTTTCACATCCCCCCAGCTCCCAAGAGCCAGTCAGGCTCAGGATGGTAACAGCATCTTTCAGCCCAGGTATCTGAGGCTCAGAGAGGGCAAGGCACCTGCTCACAACCACACAGCAAGTCTATGAGAGAGCTGGTGCTTTCAGTGGGTGGGAAGCATGTATCAATGCCTGACTCTGCTAGAACCCAGGACCTAGAGGCAACTAAGAGAGATTCCTGGTCCAGAAGTTTCTTTAAAAGTCAAAGAAGAGGGGCACATCACCCAGTGAGGGAAGTGGGTCCTGGGGACAGGGCAGATGACTTCGGCAGATGAGATACATAATGAGCAAAAGTATGCTGGCTTCACACAGCATCACTTAATGACAAAGGGCAGCATGGAGGAGGTGAGGCTGCAGGGCGGACAGGGCTCACCACCCCTTGCCATTTGGGAATTTTTCCTTACTCCTCCCCTAGCTTTTCTTTCCTTCCTTCCTCTTTCCTTCCTTCCTCTCTCCCTCCCTTTCCTCTTTCCTTTCATCATGTCATTTAAACACTTTTTTACTTCCTGGCCAGTGTGGCTCAGTGGCTGAGCATTGTCTCATGGACTGAGAGGTCCCGGTTCAATTCCTGGTCAGGGCACATGCCCAGGTTGTGGGCTTGATCCCCAGTGGGGGGCATGCAGGAGGCAGCCGCTCGATGTGTCTCTCATCAATGTTTCTAGTTCTCTCTCCCTCTCTCTCTAATAATCAATAAAAACATTTAATAATAAATAAATATATCTTTACTTGTGGTGAAATTCACATAATGTAAAATTTACTATCTTACCCATTGTTAAGTGCACAGCTCAGCGGTGTTAAGCACATTCACATTGTTGTGCAGCCGTCCCCACCTTCCAGCTCCAGAACCTTCACCTTCCCAGACTGAAACCCTATTGCCATTAAACACTGACCTCCTCCCCCGGGCTCTGGCTGCCACTAATCTACTTCCTGTCTCTATGGCTCTGGCCCTTCTGGGGACCTCACACAGGCACACTGTTCTCCACAGTGGCTGCGCCATTTTACACTCCCACCTGCAATGCACAGAGTTCCAATTCCTCCAATCCTGTCGTTACTTGTTACTTTGCTTTTATGATACGACCCATCTTAATGGGTATGAAGTAATAATGTCTTTCCTTTTTCTTTTTCTTTTCTCCTTCTTCCCTCCTTCCCTCCCTCTGTCTCTCTCCCTCTGTATCTCTCCTCTGTCTTTGTCTCTCTGTGTCTCTCCTCGGTGTCTCTGTGTCTCTGTGTCTCTCTCTCTTTCTCTCTCTCTCTGAGTTGTACTCCTCTGCCTCCCAGATTTAGTGAACAGAAATAGAGACATAACATGAGCAGGGCACCTACCTTCTGGACTCGTAGCACAGGGGTGACAACCTCCATGGAACACATTCATAGATGCCTCTTGGGTGATAAGCTGAGACAAATGCTCTGAAGGAATGGTTCAGGGTCTTCCTCCTTTGACCTTGCTCACGCCCCCTTCCTCACAGATGCCTCATCTTTATTCACCCCTGGGTGATCACTTCTCACTACCCTCCAGGGCCCACACTTCCTGGGGACAGCAAAACCCTGTCCAAACTGCTCTCCGGTGACAGTGGGCCCAGGCCAGAGAGGCCAATAGGAGCTGAGAGCCCCTTTATCTACACCACCATGTCATCCCTAGTCACCTCTCTGTCCCCAGTGCCAGGCCACAGCCGGAGTTCGTCCTGCCCAGGTCAGAGGAGAAGCCAGAGGCGGCACCGGCGGAGCACAGGTAAATACCCACGTGACCACAGATGAGCGCTGATCCGCCGGGACTGCCGAGCCCACCAGAATGTCCAATGAAAGTAATCACGATGTTATCGTGTTTTCATGATCCCAATGTTATTAGGATGATGAAATACAAACACAGGTATGAACCAGTCAGCATGATACCTACTCTACCATAGATGCTCAATATTGGGGAGATTTTTCCCTCCACCCTTAGCTGTCCCACATGGGGCCATTTGCAGAGGCCACGTTAATTTAAATGAATTAACGGTGAATAAAATGTAGACGTTTGTTCCTCAGTGGCACTTGCCACGTTTCAGGGCTCAGCGCTCCTGTACTGGACAATGTGAAAACCGAACATGTTCATTGTCGGTGAAAGGTCTGTGGACAGCCTGCCTCCAGGCCGTCCTTCTCCTGGGTTTTCTTCACTCATTTACTTTTATTTATTTATTTTTTTATCTTTACCCGAGGACATTTTTGCATTTATCTTGAGATAGAGCGGGAGGGAGAGAGGGAGGAAGAGAGGGAAACATCGATGTAAGAGAGACACATCGAGTGGCTGCCACCCACACGACCCCAACCGGGGCGGGGGACAAACCACAACTGAGGTATGTGCCCTTACTGGGAACCGAACCTGGACCTCTCTGGTCCGCAGGCCGACGTTCCAACCGCTGAGCCAAACCATCCAGGGCTATTCATTTACTTTTAATTGAGTTGAAATTCACATAACATCCAACGAACCATTTTAAGTACACTATTTAGTGCATTCATAATGTCAATACCTCTTTTCTAGTTCCAGAACATCCCACTAGCCCAGAAGGAGACTCCCCCCCTTAAACAGTTGCTTCCATTCCCTCCCTCCCCCTTTTCCTTCTTTTTTTTAATTCCTCACTTGAGGATATTCTTCCATTTATTATCAGATAGAGCAGGAGGGAAGGAGAGGGTGAGACAGAGAGAAACATCGATGTGATAGAGCCACATTGACTGGTTGCCTCCTGCACGACCTGACCAGGGCCAGGGACAAACTGCAACCAAAGTATGTGCCCTTCACCGGAATCAAACCTGAGACTCATTGGTCTGCGGGCCACGCTCTAACTGCTGAGCCAAACTGGCCAGGGCTCTTTTCTTTTTAATTCTCACCTGAGGATATTTTTCCATTGATTTTTAGACAGAATGGAAGGGACGGAGGGAGAAAGAGAGAGAAATATCAATGTAAGAGAAACAACCAAGGCCAGGGATCCAAACTGCAACCCAGGTATGTGCCCTTGACCAGGAATCAAACCCATGACCCTTCTGTCTGCAGGCCAATGTTCTAACCACTGAGAAAAACTGGCAAGGGCCAGGCCAGAGCTCTTTTTTAAAAATCCACCAGCCCGGCCAGTGTGGCTCAGTGGTTGAGCATCGACCTATGCACCAAGAGGTCGCCGGTTCAATTCCCGGTCAGGGCCCATGCCCAGGTTGTGGGCCCAGTCTCCAGTGGGGGGCATGCAGGAGGCAGCCAATTGATGTTCTTTCTCATCGCTGTTTCTCTCTCTCCCTATGTCTTCCTTTTTCTCTCTCTAAAATCAATAAAGAAAAAAAATCCATCAGCCCTGGCCAGCAGTTAGAACATCAGCCTGAGGACCAAAGAGTCACGGGTTCAATTCCGGTCAAGGACACGTACCTCAGTTGCAGTTCTATCCCCGGCCCTGGTCGGGGTTGTACGGGAGGCAACCAATCGTTATATCTCTCTCTCATTGATGTTTTTCTCTCTCAATCTGTCTGTCTCTCTCTCTCTCCCTCTACCTCCCTTCCACACTATCTGAAGATAAAACGGAAAAAAATCCTTGGGTGAGGATAAAAAAATTAAAAATCCACCAAGTATCTATTGAAAGCCCTCTAGAGCCTCGCCCTGGAATGTGTAGACAAACAACACAAGCTCTGGCCCCTCCCTTGCCTCTGGAAGTCCCTCCCAACTTTCCTGTCTCTGTCAGGTCTGCCTCCTGCATTTGATACTTGTCAGATGTTCCTTCTGCTCTTGAGCTCCCCAAGGGCAGTGGCTCTATCTTGGGACCACCCCTCCTCCTCCCTGTATTCAGCACAAGCCAAGCACAAGGACCACAGGCAGCTGACGCCACCAAGATTTACTCTCAGAAGGTCCTAGTAGGTGACCTTTGTGGGTGTGTTTGGCCTCTCCAGACCTGGTGGGTTCCCAGCAACATTAGAGGCTTTGTTTTGCATTTGTGAAGGGCCTCAGACCATCTCCTTATAACTGCCTATCCCGGTTCATTTGTCATGCAGCCAACACACGCTGGCACTGGCTTTGTACCAGATGAAGGTGAAGCTGTGTCAACCCTCATGGGGCTCACAGACAAATGCCAAGCCTTCCAAAAATAGTCAAATAATGCTAAGACTCCTTCCTTCTTCCATAGGTCTGCTCTGGTCACAGAAGATCAGGAAACAAGGTGGGTCAGAAGCAGAGGATCTTGGAGCTTTTTTTTTTTTTAATCCTCACCTGAGGATATTTTTCCATTTATCTTCAAATTGAGCGGGAGGGAGAGAGGGGGGAAGAGAGTGAGAGAAACATCGATGTGAGAGAGACACATAGACTGGTTGCCACCCACACGACCCCAACCAGGGCCGGGGACAAACTGCAACCGAGGTACATGCCCTTAGCGGGAACAGAACCTGTTTGGCTCTAACCACTGAGCCAAACCGGCCAGGGCTTGGAGATTTTTTTGAAATGTTCTAAGTGAAGCCCTCCCCAGCCAAAGGGTGCACCATCTGCCCACAGCCTGTCGCAGTGTCTCTGCCTGGTTCTGGATGACAGGAAAAGCCTTCTTGTGTGTTGGGGGTCCTGAAGACCACCCTCGGGTTTAGTGTTTTGCTAGAATGACTCAGAACTCAGCAAAGCTGCTGTGCTCAGGTGATGGTTTACTACAGTGGAAGGATGGACACAGGTGAAAACCAGCAATAGGACAGCCCTTAATTCTCCTAGCTGAAATGTGGGCAACACACAGGAAGTGTTAACAACCAGGGACACTCGGAGCCTTGGTGCCTGGGGTATTTACTGGGGCTGGTCACATATGCTCAGCTGACTGCCCTTCATCTCCAGCCCCTGCAGAGGTCAAGCTGATACCGCCCCCCAAATCACGATATTCGCATAGACTATCTGACATGAGCCAAGGTCCTAGGCAAACAAAGTAACTCTTATCAGGCAGGACATTCCCAGGGCTCAGAGGTAGCTCCCCAGGAGCTGAGCAAGAGCCAAACCTTTATTTGGAATGTGCAGGGTTAATCCTTGACCACACTTTCTCCTACAAATCTGTAACATGGCCTGGACACATACCCTAATACTACTCATGTGACGCAGGAAGCCACAAGCTAAGAAATAAACATCAAAAGTGGTCTTAGATCAGTACTGCCATGAGGATACTAAATGGACACAAGTTCTCAATTAATTTTTTAAAAGACCATCTCACTTTATGCCTTCTAGAGATGAGTTCACATTCATAGACATAAAACACAAGGAAATCATCCACCATGAGGAAAAGTCAGCAGATACAATAATCAACAGAATTAGACCCTCTCCTGGGTATCCTCAGGTAGAAATGATTAAAATGAGTAAAGACACTAAAGAAGGAATTATACGGAATGATAGATAATGAATGGACAGATACATGAGTGGTTGGATAGATGGATATGTGGATGAATGGATGAGTGGGTAGATAGAAGGATGGATGAGTGGGTTGGGTGGGTGCATGGATGAGATTGATAAATGAATGGATGGATAGATGGATGGATGGATGCATGGGGGTGTGGGTGGGTTGAAGTTACCCTCCGGTGTGATTGGAGGCACCAACCCCGAGGTCTGTTCTGCTGGGACACCAAGAGAGAGGTCTCCTTCAGAACCACACCTGGAAGGTGAGTGGCAGGTGGTAGACCTTGAAGGGCAGGTGCCATTCTTGCTGCTGAGGTACACCTACCTTGCTGCCAAGAATTCCTCTAAAAGGAATTCTTTTAGATTCCATATACAGGGGACAGTATTTTCCACTCTCTTTAAAAACAATACTAGGGAGCATTTGAGAGTGTGTTTCCCGACATGTGCCAACAGTTTGGCTCAAATTAACTCATAAAAATTCAAATAAAATAAAAATTAAAAAATAATAACTTGGCCTGTGTTTTCCCCTCTCCAGCATGTCCTGAGGTGATGAGAGGACAGAGAAGAATATGAAAGAAAATACCAGATGCCAAGAAACCTCTTTCAGATGCCCTCTGGCCCTGGATCTCATCCCCACCTCATCCTGAATCCCAGTCGTCTGAGGGTGCCTCTCTCCTCCACCCATCTCTGAAACCCAGCATCCTTTTTAGCTGCTTGAAAACATTTTTAAATGATGCAGTAGAAGTGTATTCTGGACAAGAATCCGGTTCTCAGCCCCTCACCCTTCCAGACTCATGAGCTCACAGCCCAGAAGAGAGACAAGCACAGGGCATGGCGCATGTGTCCTCAGTGGCCTCAGAGTCCCCTCCCACTGCACAAAGCCTTGGTTTAAGACCCTTCTCTTGCTTGACACGTGGCCCAGGTTGCAGCCATAGATGCCCACTGGCTCCTTGGCTTGATCTGGAATTTGTTCCTGTGCCTTTCCTCCCAGAATGACCCCCGTGATCCTGGGCATCTGGCCAGGAAGCTCAGCCCCAAACAGGGCTGTGCCCTGGGCACCTTCAACTTCACAGCTTTTCATTTGACTGGCCTCCTTTGTCTCTTATGACACCCACATCTGATTTGGGGGCGTTGGAGCCCACAGCACAAGTGAGAGCTTCCACGAATCATCCATGTCCTGCAGTCACAAAAACACACATGCCCTCTCAATCTAGAACATTCTCAAGCCCCTTTAACACGGATGCCATGCCACAGGGCAATCCGATCAATACCTCTTAACCTAAGGGAATGAGCTGTCCCCACTTCTCCAATCCCCCCTAACACAGAGTTGGGATGTGCCCCTTGGGCTCCCACCAAGAGCAGAGGCTGAGAAGCCAGCTCTGAAATAGGCTCATCCTGGAAACATAGACAAAGAAAAAGGAAGATACGGGGTATTGGATGTGTGTTTGTTTCGAAGGTCACCTGGGAATATAAATTTCAGTGGACTGGATACTAAAGCCACCTGCATTCTAAGAAGATAGACTCTTCTAATAAGGTCCAAATATGAGTCAAGTTGTTTCTATAGGTAGTGAGTTCCCTGTCTCTGGGAGTATTTAAGAAAAGGCTGGGCGGTGCTTGCAGAAACTGGTCTTCTGTACCCCCTCCAATCCTAAGAGTCTCTATTTCTACGAATCTGAGCAAAAGTTGAGCAGGCACACACTCCGGGCCCCTCTTGCTTGCTCTGTAGCTGGCTTCTTGGCTGGGTGTCTTCTCAGTTCATTTGAACCAACCCAATTTCCAAGTATGAGTTTCTTGGCCTCAGCGGATATGTCGAATGCTTCTCAAATTGGGATGGCAAGGAACCGTGTCTGGAACTATCCCAACAACAGGAGGGAGCTAGTGGCATGTAGTACTAAGGAAAGGAATGCCCGGTGCTTTGCCGCATCAAGGAACTGCCCCAAACGCCGGCAGCTCCTGCCTTGAAAAATGCCAGGTTTCTGAGCCGCTTTGGGCTGCGTATTCTGGGACCCAGCATTGTCCTCATGAGGCCAGGACATTGGGGACCTAGTGGGGCTTTTTAATTTGTAGTTCCGCTCTTCCCTAAATGTCAAATAAAGAACAGGGACCCTGTTCTGGGCCAAGGGGAATCACCTGAAACCTGAGGCAGCAGAGGTTGGTGGATGGGCCTCTCTAGGCTGCCCTCCGAAAAGCCCGGCCCTAAACTCCAGGTTCAAGTGACCAGCCTTGTGCATCTGAGACCGACATGGTCCTGAAAGACCCAAACGCCCATCCCAGTTATGCAGTACCTCCTGGAAGGCAGGTGCCTTGAGGCAAGGACAAAAAGAAAAAGGAGCCAGGGATAGGAACCAATTCATCCTACCCAATCCCATGATTACTAAATGCCTGCAGAGGCCACAGACAGACAAAGGTGCTGACCCCATTCAGGCCTCGAGGGCCCTGCAGGCTAAAGATTCTGGCTGCACAAGAAATTCTAACAGGTTCAACACCCCTCTGGACCCCCAACACCACAACCAACCAACCAGCAAGCAGAACCAAGCCACAGCAGTCCTTCCAGAACAAAGAGAGACCCCTGAGTGAACTGTCTCTAGGTCAGCCACCTGTCTGCAGCATTGCTCCAAGCCAAACAGGTCCACCATGCCTGGCCAGGCCGCTACCTGCACCCTCCAAAATTGACTTTGCGAAAGATTTGTGTCTGTGGGGGCAGTTTTGGCCAAAACGCAATGGACCCGGATCCCTTGTCGTAAAGGAACATTGGATTTTCCTCCGTGACACATGGGGAGTAAGTCCTGCCCCAAAGGCCAAGTGCACACTCCCATCCTTCCCATGGCCAGTTTCACAGTTTTTAAAGACAAAAAAACAAAAACAAAAAACCCAATTCATTATTACTGTTGTGATGTGAGAACATCATTTCCATAAACTTTGGGGGATTTTTATGTGAAATAAACTATAACTGAAAACAGAGGTTTGTTACTTTTTTCCATTTCCAAGCGCTGGTCTTGGGTGAGGTTCAGAGGAGAGAGCCCCATGCCTTGGGTGACCTTGGATGACCTTGGGCCATCACCTGTCTTGTGTGGCTTCCATCTCTCATCTGCAGAGTAGGGGCCTGATGGGTTATTCCCAGACCCTCTGACTCCGCCTCTCTGTGACTGAAGTTCATTTCCTGCCCTCAATCCCTTCTAGAATCAAACCCAGTCAGCAGTTAATAGTAATAATAATGTATTATTATTTTATGTATAATTACATATTCTATTAATTATAAGTGTATCATTATTATTACTATTGAAAGGGAAAACTCTGTTTCCTCTCTACACTCACACCAACCCTTCTAACACCAGATGTGGGGCTTTTTCCCACACCCAGTAATTCTCCAGTTCTTGGCAGAGACCTTTAACTTAACTCAGTTCTGACACTACCCGGAGTTAGCGCAGACCCCACAATTGTTAAGGACTTAGCCCAACAATTGTTCCATCAGACGCCGGTCAAAAGTAGTGGATGCCCAGGTTACCCACGCTTCTGTCCCACTTGGCTACAAATTGGGGTTCCCATACATCCTCCCATTTCAGGTTCGACAATTTGCTACAGCAGCTCACAGAATTCAAGGAAACACTTCACTTACTAGATTAGCAGTTTTTTTGTTTCTGTTGTTTTTCCTTTATTTATTTTACAGAGAGAGGGAGAGAGAGACAGAAACATAAATGAGAGAGAACATCGATTGGCTGCCTCCTGCATGCCCCCCACTGGAAATCAGGCCCACAACCTGGGCATATGCCCTGACCAGGAATCGAACCAGTGACCTCCTGGTGCATGGGTTGATGCTCAACCACTGAGCCACACCGGTTGGACAGATTAGCAGTGTTTTAAATAAGGGATGGAACTCAGGAACAGCCATATGAAAGATACGTAGAGCAAGGTTTGAGAAGGGGCCCAGAGCTCCCATGCCCTCTCCAGGCACTACCTCCCAGCATGTGAATTTGCTTGCCCACCCGGAAGTTCTCCGAACCCCTTCCTTTAGGGATTGTTGTGGCGGCTTCATCACACAGGTGTGATTGATTAAATTGTTGGCCTTTGGTGATTGACTCAATCCCCAGCCCCTCTTCCCAGAAAACTTCATCCTCTAACGGTTAGAGTCTAACCCAATGCAGGTTCCCCTGGCCATCAGCTCTCATCCTGTGGTTTCAGGCCCTTTCCATAGACACACCATTAGCATAAACTCAGGTGAGGCTGAAAGGACTTGTTACAAATAGCAAAAGATGCCTTTCATCTTTATCACTCTAGAGCTATTTCAGGAACCAAGGACAAAAGTCCAAATATTATAACAAAAGACACTCCCTTTTATCTCTTAGGAAATTACAAGAGTCTTAGGAACTGTGTGCTGGGAACTGGGACTAAGACCAAATATATATTTATTATAAATCACAATAATAACAATAACAATAATAGTAGCCCAGGCCCAACTAGTATACTCCCCCCTGAGGGGAGACTGAGACACAGAGAAATGACATGGCTCACCCAAGTTCACACAGGACAGTTGGGAGGCTGTGCCTCTCATAGGATGGGTAGAACCTTCAGTCCAGATGTGCATTGCAGCTCCTTCAGTAAGCAGCTGTTCGAACATGGACAAGTGTGTCCCCCAGCTTCCAGGGATACAGAGCAGGGACCAGCAAGGTCGTGTCCCACTCCACCTCATCCCCAGGCTGCTGAAAGGCATGAGGCCAAATCCAGTGACTCCTCCAGGCCTCACATGATCACTCGAGGAATGGCCCCTGGTGTCACGCTGAGATTTTCTGACAGGCCCAGGTCACCAGAGCACAGCTATCTTGGCACTCACCGTTCTGGACCTTCAGCGCATCTTGGCGCAGCCCCCTGGGAAAGGAAGTCCCCACAGGGCGGGGAGGGTGAGGGCAGGGATGCTGGCGCTGCTGCTGCAGCTGGCGACGGGGTGGGGTGGGCGGTGAGTTCCCTTTCCTCAGCGCCACCAGAACCAGTCTTAATGTCAGGGTCAAGCCAGAGGACACTCTGAGCGGGATATTTTTAGGAAGGGAAGATGTGTGGCGCGTTATCTGCCGGGTGGCAGTCTGGCTAGGGGTGGGGAAGAGGAGAGTAGGAGGAGGGAAGAGGCAGCCGGTGACATCTACCCGCACCCCTCCCGCCCCGCTGGCCCATGACTAATTTAGGCAAAAGGCAACGTGGAGCTATTTTCATCCAGTGGAAACAGGTGCCGTGGGGGGGCTTGCCCCCACCCCGCATGCCACGCTGCCAGCAGGCCGCGTGTCCCCTCCCTCGTGGTAGCCTCCAAGCCGCCGGGGCCTATAAAGGCGCCAGGTTTTCTCAATGAAGCCGGGACGCAGCGCAGTGCGGCGGCGAACCCAGAGGGTGCCCTGGAGTCGGCGAGCCGAGCGCGATCCCCACCGCCCCTCCGCGTGGAAATGAAGTGCATTGTGGGCATCGGAGGGTGAGCGGCCTGGGCGCCCGGCGGGTGGCCTCGCGGGGCAAAGGCGCCCGGGAGCCAGGGGAGGCGGTGGAATGGAGACCTGCTGTTGCCTGGGGTCCCAGGGCCGCCGCCCGAGGTCTGGGTGTGGGGAGGGGTCTGTGCGCTCGGAGGCTGGGTGCCCCCAGTGGGCGGGGCGCGAAGCCAAATTTTAAATTGCCAAATGAAAAGCACTTTTCCCCCGCTGTATTCAGTGTAAAACCAGAAGTCGGTGGGGAGAAAAGACTTTACGAAGCTCAAGCAGACTCTCCTAACAGTCTGTGGCCATCCTGAGGGGAAGGTGGTGGGGATACCCTACCAGGGGATAGACACGTGGGCAGGTGGGGCGGTCCCCAGAGTGGCATTCCGTAGTGACTGTGTAGCACCCGCCAGTCAGGGGCCTCCCTTCCCAGGAGGATTTAAACTCTCCATTTTGTTACCAATAACCAGGCCTTTTAAGGTGATGCTAGGAAAGCACTTTTCCTAAGCAGGGTGGGCTAGAGGACAGACACGTCCTACCAGGGGATTGCCCTGGGTCCCTTTACCCCACTTGGTTCCAAAAATGTTTTTATTTATTTTTAGAGAGGGAAATGAGAGAAAGAACCATCTATTTATTTTTCCACTTATTTATGCATTCATTGGTTGATTCTTGTGTGTGCCCTGACCGGTGTAACCTTGGTGTATCCAGACGATGTTCTACCCAACTGAGCGACCTGGCCGGGTTACTCCTCCATTGCTCTGCTATTGCCCACTTGAAATTCCTAATATATTTGAAGGCCCCTACATTTCATTTGGTGCCAGGCCTTGCAAATTCTGTAGCCACCTTGAGTGCAAGGTGTGCCTTTAGTAATGACCCAAATTAATGCCAGGGCTGTTCTAAACTGCTCCCCCTTAGCCTGGCCAGTTTGGCTCAGCAGTTAGAGCGTCGGCCTGCAGACCAGAGAGACCTGGGTTCAGTTCCCGCTAAGGGCACGTACCTCGGTTGCAGTTTGTCCCCCACCCTGGTTGGGGTTGTGTGGGTGGCAACCAGTCGATGTGTCTCTCTCACATCAATGTTTCTCTCTCTCTCTCTCTCTTCCTCCCTCTCTCCCTCCTGCTCTATCTGAAGATAAATGCAAAAATGTCCTTGGGTGAGGATAAAAAATAATGATAATAAAATAAGCTTCTTCTTCTTAATATATGGGGGTCCCCTTTCCTGTCAGCCCTTTTCACTGGCTGCAGCTTTCCCCTGTCACACCTGGCTTTCTGCCTCTGATTCCTAGAACAGGGACAACAAGGTCAAAAGGATACTCTTTTGCAGAAACGCCTTTCAGTTACCCTTCTGTGCCCTTTGTCAGCTCCAGGAGTCCAGAGTCTTGTTCCCTTTACCACAGGCTGACCCCCTAGTCCTGGTTTTCCTGGCACTGAAGGGTCCCCAGGATTTGGGGCTTCCAGTGCTAAAAGCAGAGACATCCTCGGCAAACCAGGACAAGTTGGTCACCCTACTTTGACAATTGCTTTTTTTTTTTTTCCTTTTTCTTTCTTATCTTTTCTTGGTTACAACCAGTTCATAAAGTTGAATGCCTCTTTTAGTTTTGCAGTGAACTACTGGTTTTTCTATTGCAAATACATGTTCTCCCCCAGTATGCACTTGTTTTAACATTTTGACCTTTAGAAGAAAGAAAAAAAAGGCCCGGCCAGTGTGGCTCAGTGGTTGAGCATCGACCTATGCACCAAGAAGTCGCCGGTTCAGTTCCCGGTCAGGGCACATGCCCAGGTTGTGGGCCCGATCCCCAGTGGGGGGCATGCAGGAGGCGGCCAGTTGATGTTCCCTCTCATCGATGTTTCTATCTCTCTCCCTCTCCCTTCCTCTCTCTCTAAAAATCAATAAAGAAAAAAAAAGGCCTCCTAGGGCTAAATCATGCTTGGAGCTCAGTTTCCTCATCTGTAAAAATGAGTTCCTGGGCCCACCTCCTAAGTTTGCAATGACAAGGAAATGAGTCGCAGTGCTCAGGATGGCCCAGCACCAGCCAGGACTGTGTTAGCTATTTGTTTGTTTTCATACTTTCTGTCCTTTGTCTCTACTTAAAAAGTCTCCTCTGACCCTAGGCAAATAACAATATCCTCTTAGCTCTAAGGTTTTACAGTTCTGTGTTTATGTTTGCGTCTGATTCTGGGGACCCCTCAGACCAGGCCAGGCAATTGTACGCTGTCTCCACAGCATGACCAACGGCGGCAAGACCACTCTGACCAACAGCCTGCTCAAGGTGCTGCCCAACTGCTGTGTGATCCACCAGGATGACTTTTACAAGGTGGCCGCCCTCACATGGGGGTCGGGGTGGGGGCCAGCCCAGGCTACTCTAATGCCCATTGCCCATGGGGGCCCAGCACAGACCCCTCAGGTCGCCCTGGGCCAGGAAAGCAAGAAATGGGCATTCTCATTTACTGAGCAGCACTATTACCTGGTACATTCTCACTGGACACCTATTCCCCACTGGACTGATGGGGACACTGCAGTTCCCACGGGGGTGTCCCACCAGACCAGTGCCACTGTGGCCTTCCAGGCCTTTTCTCCCTCTGCACCTGCACTTTCCCATCTGCAAAATGGTCTCTGAGCCCACCCTCCATGCTTTGTGGAGGGTGAGGGGTAATGAGATGATGGATGCCAAGCCCCTTCCTCCTGGTCCTGAGTCAGGGGCGGGGGAGAGGGAGTATCCTGCCAGCCTGAACCGCACCCAGCACCTCAGAGCCTGTACGCATCAACTGGAGAGGGTCAGGGCAGGCAGCCCCGCCAGACCCTGGGCCCCCCACTATGGGCTCTCCAGGAGCTGAGGGGCCCCCCGAGATTCTGTCAGCCCAGGGTGCTGGTGAGGTGGGAAGGCAGGCACTGAGCCCGGGGTTCGGGCTCCTCTATTTCAGCCCCAAGACCAAATCGCAGTTGGGGAGGACGGCTTCAAGCAGTGGGATGGTAAGAATGGCCGGCGGCCCCGCGCCCCCTGCCTGCACTGTGCCCCCTTTCCCCGACTCTGCCAACGCTGCTCTCCTGCCCCCAGTGCTGGAGTCCCTGGACATGGAGGCCATGCTGAGCACCGTGCAGGCCTGGGCGAGCAACCCCCGGAAGTTCGCCCGTGCCCACGGCGTCAGTGTCCAACCGGACACCCTGGACACACACATCCTCATCCTGGAAGGGTTCCTCCTGTACAGCTACAAGTGAGTGGTGGCAGATGCACGCCCCAGAAAATCGGGCCCTCCCAGCGGTTGGGCAGCACTGGGCTCAGCTTAGAGGTCTGGGGCAAAACCCCCACTTCTTGGGAAAACTGAGTCCTCCGTTTAGAACTCAGCCTTCTCAGGCAGAGCAGGAGGCTGAGTGGGACCCCTGGCCTCACCGTGTGACACAGCCCCTCTCTTGGCCCATCTAAATTGGGGGCTGCTGTGGGGATGTTCCTGGGCATAGCAGGAGACTGGCCGATGCTAGTCCCCTCCCTGACCTCTACACTAACCAGCCCAGACCCCACCCCCATCCAGCCCTCAACACCCAGGAAAGTCCCGGGAGGCCAAGGCTGTGGAGCTGTGTACCTTGACCCCCTGAAGGAAGACCCATGGCACTGATCATGTCCTCCACCCTTGCCAGGCCCCTGGTGGACTTATACAGTAAACGGTACTTCCTGACCGTCCCCTACGAGGAGTGCAAGTGGAGGAGGAGGTAAGCCTGGAGGCCGTCTGGATTCCCAGGTGGGACCAGGAAACCACTGATGCCCACTGGACACAGGCCACCCTGAAACACAGGTTGTCAGCCAGCAAGCACTTAGCTGGCCCGCGCACTGTTCTAGAAGCCCCAGCTGGGGACCTGGAGGCATGGCCCACCCTGCACTGCCCTAGGCATCTACCAGGTTCAGGGGATGAAAATGCCAGAAACTGGGGCACCCTGATTGCAGCCAATGGCCCCAGGCTCAGTTGGGCCCCCTTTCTCCATGGCGTTATCCCTGACCTAGTTCACATCCCCCAGGCTCTGCTCATAGTACCACCCCTGGGCAACGTGGGCATCACTCATTCTTACCAATCTCTTTCCCCAGTACTCGAAGCTACCAGGTCCCCGATCCCCCTGGCCTCTTTGATGGCCACGTGTGGCCCATGTACCAGAAGTATAAGCAAGAGATGGAGGCCAATGGTGTGGACGTAGGTAAGGCCCCGAGTAGCATGAGGCCTGACCCTGAGCCCAGCCCCTCCCCATGGGGACCATTTGGGAAACCTAGAAATCCCTCCTCAAGTCTCACTGCCAGTCCTTCTTGCTTTGGACCTCAGAGGCCATTTTATTCCAGCAACCTGAGTCTGCAGGTCAGCTTCCTCCTGATTCAGCAGTCCACCCGACTCCCTGTGAGCTGTCCACCTGCCTCATGGCAGGAGCTCTGGCGGCCCAGCACTTTCGACCCTGACCATGGCCTTTCTGATTTCAGTGTACCTGGATGGCACGAAGTCCCGTGAGGAGCTCTTCCACCAGGTCCTGGAAGACATTCAGAACTCACTCCTGAACAACTCCTAGTGTGGCCGGGGCGGAGGGGCCCGACCCCGGACTGGAGAGACCCACACACAATTCCGGCCACAGTACGGCCAGTCTGGCGGCGTCCCAGCAAGACACCGACGACCATTTCCCTTTGTGGATGTCTGTACATATGAGAGTGGAGGCCCCACTCACAGCTCAGCATCTTGGGGCCCCAGGATCCAGCCCCAAGATGCCTCTGTAACCTCACAGCAGCTTAAGAATTAAACACTATCCTGGTTTTTTTTTTTAACTGTTAGGATTCAGCCTGTTGGATCTGAGGTGCCGAAAAGGAACATCCTGTCCCCTCTCCTTGGTTCATTGATGGCTTCTGGGGGTGGCACTGAGCGCCCTGGGTACTTAGTCTCCACCTGTTGGACCTATACCAACATGACCCCAGGGGCTGCTTGGGGGGTCCTTGGGGCCTCAGTTATCCCAGAAAGTAAATTTCCTCCCAGCTCTCAACAGATGGCACAGCATAGCCCAGAACATGGTCAAAGAAGTCAGCCCAGCTCTTGGCTTAGCCCCGCCACTACTGCACCGCCCACACCTTCTCTGGTTGGAGTTGATACCTACTGTGTAGGATTACTGGGAAGCTTTCACGACCCAGGATGCTCATTAAGGACATACTTTCTATCCCCGGAATGATGTCTCCCTGTGCCCTCCCCAGAAGCTCAGAGAGATAGTTTATTATTTATACCCATTTTAAGGACTGGGAGACAGGTTCAGAGATGGTTGGTGGCTTGGCGGAGCTGGGATTTGAACTCTCCTCTCCCTAGACCCTGTTCTCTTTGCTCAAAGGAATCTGAAGGTCCAATGGAGACCAGAGCTCTGGGGCGGGGGGGACAGGGTACCCCTTGACCTGAGGGTGATGTACAATGGCCAACTGTGGACCCGTAGCTTCCCACCTCACTCAATCCAGAATGGCACAAAAAACCCTCAGTACAGCTGGGTTGGGACAAAACTAGTGAACATTTGAAAATTATGGAGGAAAAAAAAAAGAAAAAAACCAATGACCTTATAACGCAGCAATTACACTCACAGGAATATACCCATAAGAATTGAAAACAGGTATTCAAACAAAAACTTGTATATGAAGGTTCACAGGAGTATTATTCACAGTAGCCAAAAGGTGGAAGCAGCCCAAGTGTCTGCGGATGGGTGATGGATAAACACAGCATGCTTTATTATACAAAGGAATCTCAGCCATGAATGAAAAGGAGGGACGCTCTACCACTCACACCACAACATGGATAAACCTTGAAAACACGATGCTCAGTGAAAGAAGTCAGACATGAAAGGCCACACAGTGTGTGATTCCATTGATGTAAAATGTCCAGAACAGGTTCAATTCTAGTCAAGGGCATGTACATGGGTTGCAGGTTCAATCCCTGGCCCTGCTCGGGGTTGTGCAGGAGGCAACCAATCGATCTGCCTCTCTCACATCAATGTTTCTCTCTGTCCCTTGCTCTTTGTCCCCCTCCCTCACTTCCACTCTCTCTACAAAAAAAAAAAAAAAAAAAAAATCGATGGAAAAATATCCTCAGGTGAGGATTAGCAAAAAATAAAAAGACACTGTCACGGGCTGAATTGTGTCCCCCAAATTCATAAGTTGAAGCCCTAAGCCCCAGGACCTCAGAACATGACTATATCTGGAAGTGATTAAAGAGGTGATTAAGCCCTGGCCAGTTTGGCTCAGTGGTTAGAGCGTCAGCCGATGGACCAAAGAGTCGCAGGTTTGATTCCGGTCAAGGGCGTGTACCTCAGTTGTGGTTCAAACCCGGGCCTGTTGGGGTCATGTGGGAGGCAACCAATTGATGTGTCTCTCTCACATCCATGTTTCTCTCTCTCTCTCCCTCCCACTCTATCTGAAAATCAATGGGAAAATATCCTATGGTGAGGATTTAAAAAAAAAGAGAGAGATGATTGGGTTACAAAGGGGTTGTGAGGGTGGGCCTTAACCCAATATGACTGGTGTCTGTATAAGAATTTAGACACACAGCCCTGGCCAGTTTGGCTCAGCGGTTAGAGCGTTGGCCTGCGGTCCGGAGAGACCTGGGTTCAGTTCCCGCTAAGGGCACGTACCTCGGTTGCAGTTTGTCCCCGGCCCTGGTTGGTCGTGAGGGTGGCAGCCACTCAATGTGTCCCTTTCACATTGATGTTTCTCTCTTTTTCTCTCTTCCTCTCTCTCCCTCCCACTCACTCTATCTGAACAAAAAATGTCCTCAGGTGAGGATTAAAAAAAAAAAAAAATTTAGACACACAGCCCTGGCTAGTTTGGCTTAATGGTTAGAGTATCGGCCCTTGGACTTTAGAGTTCGATTCCCAGTCAAGAGCATGTACCTAGGTTGCAGGTTCAATCCCCAGTCCTGGGTCAAGCAGGAGGCAACCAATGGATGTGTCTCTCTCATATTGATATCTCTCTCTCTCTCTCTCTCTCTCTCTCTCTCCCCCCCCCCCTTCTTCCCACTCTATCTAAAAATCAATGAAAAAAATATCCTCAGATGAGGATTAAAAAAAAAAAGAATTTGGGCACACAGAGGGACGCCGGGGCACATGTGCACAGTGGGGACACAGAGAAGACGCCCATCTGCAAGCCAAGGAGGCCTAAGAAGGAACCAGCCCTGCAAATCCACAAAGACAGAAAGTGGATTCGTGATTGCCAGGGGCTGGAGGAGGGGACAGTGGGGACTGACCCATAATAGGAATGGAGCTTCTTTTGGGGAGGGGAGATAAAATATTCTAAAATTGATTGTAGCCCTGGCTGGTTTGGCTCAGTGGTTGGAGCGTCGGCCTGCGGTCCAGAGAGACCTGGGTTTGGTTCCCCCTAGGGGCACGTACCTCGGTTGCAGTTTGTCCCAGGCCCTGGTTGGTTCCTGTGGGAGGCAGCCACTCGATGTGTCCCTTTCACATCGATGTTTCTCTCTCTTCCTCTCTCTCCCTCCCACTCTGTCTGAACAAAACAAAATGGAAAAAGGTCCTCTGGTGAGTATAAAAAAAAGTAAAATTGATTGTAGTTGATGGTTGCCCCTTTGAAGATGTAAAAAAAAATTAAAATGTACACATTAAGCAGGTAAATTGTAATGGTATGTTAATATTATCTCAATAAAGCTATCTACAAATCCTTTAGGGCTTAATAAAAAAAATCCAGTGTGCCCTGGCCAGTTTGGCTCAGTGGTTGGAGCATCAGCCTGTGGACCAGAGAGTCCCGAGTTCGGTTCCCGCTAGGGGCATGTACCAAAAAAAAAAAAACCAACAAATCCAGTGTGACTTTTATTTAATTGAGCAGCATTTTCTACATTTGTGACTTTAATAAGAAATACATTAATGCCCATTTGTTCATTAACAGCCCATCACTGTCATGCTAATCAATTGGGCATATGTTTTAATGGGACACTAAACGTTATTTCATTCAACAAATGTTTATTGGGTGTGTAATATAAGGATTGACAAACTATGGCCTGTGGGCCAAATCCAGACCACTGCATATTTTTGTACAGCCCTTGAGATAAGAATGGTTTTATTTATTTATTTATTTATTTATTTATTTATTTATTTTAATTGATTTTAGAGAGAGAAGAAGGGAGAGGGAGAGAGAGATAGAAACATCGATGAGAGAGAACATCGATTGGCCACCTTCTGCATGCCCCTCACTGGGCGTCAGGCCCACAGACTGGGCATGTCTCTGACCGGGAATCGAACCAGCGACCTCTTGGTGCATGGGTCGACGCTCAACCAGTGAGCCACACCAGCCAGGCTGGTTTTATATTTTCAAATGATTGGGATAGGGGAGGAATTAAATTTAATAATACATGCAAATTATGTGAAATTCCAGTTTCAGTGTCTATAAATAAAGTTTTATAGGTACAAAGCCGCACCATAAGGCTGCTTTCAAGCTACGGTGTCAAAGCTGAGCAGCTGTGACAGAGATCCTCTAGTCTGCAAGGCTGAAAATACTTGCTTTCTGCCTCTTTGCAGAAAATGTCTGCTGACTGGTGTGGTGTATGCAAGGTCTGGAGTGGAGAGCCACGGGAAGGGCAGCCTCAGGGACAGGCTGTGACCGAGGTCACTGTGTCCTGGAGAACAGGTGGGAACTGGAGCAGGACCAGGAGGAAGCACCTGGTGGGCCTGCCAAGGCTTGGCCTTTGCACAGGCACAGGGCCCAAAATAGTGCAGGATGGGACAGGGTCAGGGGAGAGGTGGTTCTGGGGCAGCCAGAGCCCTGCCTGGCCACCCAGACACCTCGGGCATTATGAGAACAGTGGCAATAGGGTGACCAACTCAAAAAATCAGAAGATAAGTGTCATCAAGGATGTAGAGAAACTGGAACCCTCAAGATGGGGCAGCCACTATGGAAAAGAGTTTGGAGGTGTCTCAAAAAATTAAACATAGAGCCCTGGCCAGTTTGGCTCAGTGGTTGGAGCATCGGCCAGCGGACCAAATTCCGGACAAGGGCATGTATCTCGGTTGTGGTTCGTCCCAGGTTGAGGTCATGCAGGTGGCAATCAATTGATGTGTCTCTCTCAAATCGATGGTTCTCTTCTCTCTCTTCCTCCCTTTCTCCCTCCCACTCTATCTGGAGATAAATGTAAAAATATCCTCGGGTGAGAGCAAAAAAAATTAAACATAGAATTATCATGCGATCCTACAATTCCACTTCTGGATGGAATTAAAAGAATTCAAAGCCTGGTCTCAAGCAGATATTTGCACACCTATGTCCATAGCAGCATTATTCTCAACAGCCAAAAGGTGGAAACACCCAAATGTCCATCAACAGCTGAATGGATAACAAAATGTGGTCCATCCAGACAATAAAATATTATTCAGCCTGAAGAAAGAAGGAAATCTGATACCTGCTACAGTGTGGATGAACCGTAAAGACATTATTTTCAGTGAAATAAGCCAGACACAGAGGACAAATACTGTATGAGTCCTTATAGAAGGGCCCTACAGGAGTCAGATCCATAGAGACAGGAAGTAGAGGGTGGGAGCCAGGGGCTGGGAGAAGGGGGTGGGTAATTACTGTTTAATGGGGACAGAGTTTCAGTTTAGGAAGATGATAAAGTTCTGGAGATGGATGGTAGGGACAGCTACACAACAATGTTTGTTTATTTATTTATTTATTTATTTATTTATTTTTTATTATTATTATTTTTTTATCCTCACTCGAGGACATTTTTCCATTTTTTCATTCAGATAGAGTGGGAGGGAGAGAGAGGAAGAGAGAGAGAGGG